AAGGTATCTCCACCAGATCTGAACAGGACTTCTTGAGCTGTGTAGAGTTATGGTATCGAGAGGTGTGGCTGACGGTTCGGAATTTGTGCACGGTGCTTAACTCCAAAACCCCTCATGCACGACATGGGCTCACCTGGCTCTCGCCAGATTTTTTTTGCTCTTTTAGCAGAGACCCATTTGCAACATTCTTTGCCTCTGCCTTGCTTCTGATTGCATTTGCTGTTGCTAGACCAGTGGTTGCGTTCCCTCAAAAAACCAAACTGCACTTTTCGCTGTTCTCGGAGATTGCACCTCTGCTTCAATTTCTTTTTGCTCTCTGAGTCAGTTCCATCGTCAAATCGGGTCTTTTTTGCTTCATGGTTGCGTGTGTCTTTGCGCAGGATGGTTGCATCCGCTGTCACAAACCGACAAAAAAAAGATCGCTCGCAGCAGGCGCTCCAACCGACTTTGTTGCTCAGCAAATCCACATCTCTGCGCAACACAGACCCGTGCCGCTGCCGCCCCCGCAACACAGGTTTTTCGGTCTGCCTCAAATGGAAGAACTGCTTTTGAATCAGGTTAGTGACCGCACTCGTTTTGTCTCGTTTCGTTTTGCTTCGAATGTTTTTAGCTCAAGAAAAAGATCGAGTGCTGCGCACTCTGTTTTTCTTGTTAGTGGACTCCTGAGAGCTGTGAAGCGCCACGGCCTCGCCTGTGCAAGGTTGGAGTTGAGAGTTCTCCCAGAAGGTACCTGTGCCTGAGAAAGCATCGACATTGACCTGTCTGGACCAGATCCTGTTTGTCCCATGAGTCCGCCTGCAGCTCAAAGGTGGAAGTGTTCTGGCTGCTGTGTCTGGAACGTGTTCGGCCACCAGTGCCGACGTCCAGTTTCGGTGCGGACCAACTGCAGCACACGCGGCTCCAAATGTGGGTCGAACAAGCTTAGCAATTTTGGCTTCGCTTGAGTGGCCCCCCTCTGTACCATAACGGTTGGCAGTTGGTATCATTAGATGTTACGGATGCTTACTTGAATTGCCCGCAGGCAGAGGACACATGCACAAGTGTCATGATCAATGGCGAACGCTTGTACTTCAAGCTTCTCAGGCTCCTTCCGGGCCAGCGGGAAGGTTCTACCAGTTCACAGATGCGCTGAAAGTCGGAAGCCGCGTCGAGTTGATGCAAGAGGTGCCATCGCTGTTCCGGTTCCAGCCTGAGGACGGCGGAGGCGGGGGACTTGTGCACGTCGACGATTTGCTTGGCACAGGACCTGCAAGTGATCAAGTGCATGACTGATCATCTTGAAAGGGATTACAAAGTGACCGTGATTTCGGTGCCAGGCCAAGAGGTTCATTTTCTTAAGAAGCGGCATTATCTTTTGTCGAGCACAGAGTTGCTGATTGAGGTGAGCCCAAAACATTTGGAAAAGTTGAAATCTTTGTGCGGCCATCCCAAGCACCGAAAGTCACCTCTCCCGTCCGGGCGGTTGCCCACGGAGAAAGAGGACGATGCACCATTGTCCCAGGATCAGGCATTTCGCTTTCGATCAGCCGTTGGAGTGTTGCTTTACCTGCAGTCAGACCTCCCGCACGCCATGCACAGCATTCGCCACTTGTCAGGCTTTATGTCGTCCCCGACCGTTGGGGCATGGGCAATCCTGCGGCATTTGGTCGGTTACTTGAGTGCCACTGAGGGGTACTGTGCATGCCTTACGGCCGGAGGCATCGGACACGGTGTGCAAGTGCATCGCCCAGGGATCAATGTCATCGAGACGTTTAGTGATGCTGACTGGGGTGGATGCCGATCCACCCGACGTTCTGTCTCGTCGTCTGTGATTCTTTGCAACAGCAAGTTCATCCAGCATCCAAAACGCAAAAGTCGATCGCACTATCCAGTGCGCAATCCGAGTTTGGCGCCGCGGTGTGAGCCGCGATAGATGGAACCCTTGTCTCAAGCATGATGCGGTTTGTGTCTCCAGAGCCAACGACACCGCCACTCTTGATGATTGACAATTCCGCTGCCCGCGCGATCTTTCAACGCGCCGGGGTCGGACGCGTGCGCCATCTTGATGTGAAGCTGCTATGGACGCAATAACGGGTTGCGGAAGGATTGCTGGAGGTGCTGCCGGCACCCACGCGTACCAATGTCGCGGACATTGGCACGAAGCTCCTCGGTGTGCAGCGCACGGAGTTTCTGCTTGGCCTGATTGGGTTTAGAGATTCCCGAAATGGTTATGCTAGGGTTGGAAATGCAATCTTCAGCACAGAGCACGATGTCCAGGCCATTCGCAATGTGTGCAAGGATCTGTCGAAGATCGCAAAGGGTGATGCCACGGCAAACACCGCCCGCATCCTCAGTGTTATCTTGATTGCCATGCAGGCAACTGGAAGCCTGGGTGCGGAGGATGGCGATGATGCCAATGACGACGACGCGACTTTGACCTTTCTTGATGCGATTCTTGAACCCTTGTTGCAGATCGTCGGCTATGCATCTGCAGTGTATGAAGCATACCCTTCGACATGTGTTGCGGTGTGTCAGTGCGTTGCAATCACGCATCCATCATGCGTGCGTGAATGGGTTTTATTTTCCGCCGAAAGTGTAGACAAAGTTTGTCGAAAAAGGAAAACAGTGTTTTCGCTTGCGTGTGGGTGACACTAGACAAACTTTGCCGTGCAGCTTTCGGCTTGCACAAACGGAAGTTTCGTTGGAAAATAATGCATTCTTGATGTGTGCATTCATGTGTTGTGGCCGACGGATGACAGATGTTCCAGAGGCATCTGTGCAGGTGCGCATCGCGTCTGGAGTCGCGGTAGATGTCCGAACATCCCGCATTGAGCCCAAAGCCAAGGCTGGTGTACAGGTGCGTGGAGCGCGGCCCAAAACCGCGAGTCGACCAAAGCTTGATGACGACGATGAGCGAGCCCAGAGTCCTGGTGCGCACGAGGTCCAAGCAAGCAAACCAGGATCATCCACCGATGTGCTGCGATCGAACAGCGAAGCCAGTGAGAAGATCCCGAGAGCACGCCCGATTCCACAGCGCCGGGTGCCACAGGCCCGAAGCGCAGACGGCGTGTGGATTTCGACAAGTCAGGGATACGCTTATCATATAAGGCTACATGTGGCAAGTTGAACCAGTCGCAGGGCGTCACTGAGGTGTCGCGAGCGGTTGCTGAGGAGCGCGGCTACCGCGCGTGCCGCATATGCAAACCTTGATGGGTGTGCCGAGTTTCTTGTGATGCTGCATCGTGCGCTTGATCTTGCTTTATAATGCTCATGAGGCACATTGGATGCCATGTACATAGTCAGTCATTTGTGCCACGGCGCAATTGAGTGACAGGCTGCTGGTGGATCCTGTACATAGCTTGACAACGTGCGATGGACGGCTTGAAATCACTTGAATACTGACGTGCAGCATTTTGCTGCTAATCCGGACAATGCCACAATCCCTTGAGCCGTGGAGCGGCTCACAGCTGCGTTGAGGCGCAATTGGCGCCCACAACGGTAACTAGGCCGTTGCAATCTTGTTTTGCCGATTGGGCGCATGAAGCGCATGAACCATCATGAATCGCCTTCTCTTGTGAACTTGAAAGGCGTCCGCTTGCGCCAGTCAAGCAACTTGTGTCCTCGGCGGCCAACGCCCTGTGATACAAGCATGCGTAGAGTTGTGATTGTACAGATGGTAGGTGTACAAACTTGAGCAAAGCCTTGAGCCGGCTAAACCGAGCCCAACACGTAATCTTGATTGACAAAGTCATGAAAACATGTGCACTGGAGCGTGTTTAAACATCGTATAAGCTGTTGATTCATACTTCGAGGAATCGTTCATGGACAGTCTGCCCATTCGCCAATGGAACAGCCTGAGGCGGGGTACGAACGATTTTCCTGTATTCGTTGGCATGGTTTTACATTGATTTTATCATGCATTTTACTTTCGCTCCTTTAGTTGTGCACATGCTGATTCCGAGATACCTGAAGGCTTTTGTTGCTCGAGGATAGTGGAAAAGTTCGTATCCGCTCAGCTGCAGGCAGCGCCTCTCAGCCGTAAGCGTCTCAAGCACCTTCGCTTTGAGCCCGACTTCAGTGACAAGATCACCTTGGAGGGCGCTGCAGCGCAGTGTTTTAAAGGTTGGAAGACTCCCCAAAAGCTTCCACAGTCGTGGACCTGCTTCCCCAAGGGGTCCAAGCTGGTTCAGTGGATAGAGTCCACGCAGAAGGCCATTGTCTCCATTCCTCTTCAGCCCTTGCACTGGGTGCGCAGAGCGCACCTGATCAGTCACCCCGCCAGGGACATAGAAGCCGTGCCTCTGTCCCTGAAGCGTGCCATTTCAGCTGAGGTCCATCAGGACCCCGTGTTCTTGGCAAAAAGACGCACAGCAGCGTCTCTGCATATAAGCAAGCTCTGCACAGAGTGCAAAGACCTTGAGGCCGCCGCGCGGGAGCCAACCGACGCCATGGTTAACAGTGTTACCCTCCCGAAACAGTCAGTGGCTTTGGACAAGATTCTTCAAGAGATCGGCTTCCCTGACCGTGCAGTGGCAACTCAGGTCCGTGAGGGTTTCCCTCTGCTTGGCTGGATTCCGCCCAGTGGGCTCTGGCCAGCTCAGGTTCTGCCGCCGTCGTTGGACGAGTCGTCTCTTTTGCGGAATTCCCATAGCATAGGGATGCGAGGTGTGCGCAGCGCGCTTCGCCCGACAGACGAGAACGTCTCGGCCAAAGTTTGGGAGAGCACTTTGGAAGAGAGCGCACAGGGCTGGCTCCTTAGAGGACTTCACCCCGTCTAGCCTCCACGACACGATAGTATCGTCTCGATTCGGAGTGCTTCAAAAGGGCAAAGTTCGCCCCATCGACAACTTCAAGAGCAGCTTCATCAATTCGCATGTTCGGTGACCAGCTGTGCCATGCGTTGACGCTGTCGCTCATCGTGCTTTCATGCTTACGTTGTGCTCTTCATGCCTGATCGCTCCAATTATTCTCGAATCGCAGTTTCACGAAATTTTCAGGCACGTCCCTGGTAAAGATGTTCCATGGCTACAGCCTGTGAGGACTCGCAGGGCTGTCCAGAGGATGTGACCATGCAGGTGTTACGACTTCATGCCCCGTGGTTTGAGGAGGTACTTACACCGGCGATGTATTATCACGACCCTCGCCCAGACGACGACACGCCCGATGACGACGCCACCGTCATCGACTCTTCTATGCATGGCAGCTCAAGTCAGGTTTCTCTGACCTCCGATTGTTCATGCCGCTCTGACGGGTTTGAGTTTGATTCTGAACTGGTGCATACTTTGACAGCTGCTTTCAATGACATGGGGGAGCGGGCCAACCAGCTGGCGTACACCTGTCTGCATACAGGGTTCGTTACCTTTAGTCAGTTGCAGCAGCTCAGCCTTTTACTGCCGATCGATGCGAAACCGCGCAAGCACATTTTGGACAGCTGTCACAACGACTCGCACTGCCAGGAGACCCGTTGCTTCACAGCAGGTGCCTACATCTTTGGTGGAGAAGCGGGGATCCGTACAAGCATGCGTACCTTCTTCTGGGTGACGAGACTACTCTGCTGTATAGTCAAATCTGCTGCGGGTTCGAGGCCCTTTACAACTGTCACACTCTCGCTGAACCAGCAGTCTGGGGTTCATGTGGATGCGCACAACAGCCGGACTTATCACAACATCGTGATTCCAGCCGGCTATTGGGACGCTGGCGAACTCTGGGTCTACAATGACAATGGTTGCAACACGTTTCCAGGTACAGAGCTGCAAGGCGATGTAGTGCCAGTTAGGCATCCTTATACCATGCTGGATGCTACGCAACCGCATGCAGTGTTTGACTGGACGGGGGAGAGGACGGTCGTCATTGGTTTTCACATCCGAGATGCATGGAGACTTCAGAAGGATGATCTCGCATTGCTTGCTGATGCTGGCTTTCATGTCCGAACCTGTGAGCGCGTAACTGACCCGTACATGTCGGTCATTGAGGTACAGTGACTGCTGTCTTACTCTGCTGCTGCAGCGGTAGCTGTCTGCACCAGGAGTTTTGCTTCCCAGTAGTTTGCCTGAAGCCGTGTTTTTGTTTCTTACCAAAGAGGGGCTCCTGCTTGCACAAACGCGCCAGAGCTGCCGGAGCCGACTCTCTCGCCTCGAAGTTTTGACGAACCTTTTGTACTTTGTGTTCTAGTGTAGTGGGAACCGTGCACTTGTCGCTAGGGCATACGTGCCGGACTTGTTGAGCACTGTCTAACAGTGCTAGGGGCCAAGCGTCCACAGAGACGCCAGGTTGCGAAGACCTGTAGTGCCTGAGCTAGGCGACCTTCGAGGACGCTGCTGGTGAAAAATGAAAAAAGAAGCTTCATCAATTCATGCTGTGGCACCACAGAGAAGGTGCAGGTCGACAGCATCGACGAGCTCCTCGCAGTGTGCCTCGAGTGGCTGCGCCAGGGTGTGCCTGCAGAGCAGGCACACCGTATAGTGGGCAGAACCTGGGACCTCAAAAGCGCATACAAACAGCTTGCAGTGCAAGCTGCACACAAGAAGTTCGCATGCGTTGCCATGCGGGACCCACAGACTGGGAAGGTGAAGATCGCCCACCTGCATAGCATGCCTTTTGGTGCGGTAGCTGCAGTGCACGCTTTCCTGCGTTGCAGCGAGGCGCTTAAGGCCATTGGCCGCGAGAAGCTTGCATTAGTCATGACAAGCTTTTTCGATGACTTCACCGTTCTTACGCGCAGCGCGCACACGAAGCTGGTCAGCCTGGCAGTTGCCAGCATGTTCAAGAAGTTGGGCTGGCAAGTTGCCACCGAGCCTAAGAAGAACATCGACTTCAGCGAAGTTTTCGATGTTTTGGGAGTCAGAGTTGATCTGTCCAAGCAGCACCTTGGGCAAGTTACGTTCCAGAACAAGCCCACCCGCGCAGCGGAGCTGGGCATGGTACTCAGCGAGGCCCTGACCCGTGGGAGCATGTCTCCTCACGAAGCGCAGAGCCTGCGCGGCCGTCTCATCTTTGCAGAGCAACAGGCCTGGGGCCGCAACACGCGTATGGCAGTGATCTGCGTTGGAGACGTCGCCGGGGACGGGCCTGAGCAAGTGCCCCTTTCAGAGCAGCAGCGCCAAGCCATGGATTTTCTGCTGCAACGTGTAGTGCACGGCCCTCCCAGGACAGTGTCCATTCATGCCCACCGCCAGTTCCATTTGTACATGGACGGGGCCTGCGAGTGGGAGCTCCCACGCCGTGTGCCCAAGTGCGGTCTGGGGGCAGTGCTCATCGGCGAAGGCGTAGCCGACACCTGGGGGCTACAGATCAGCCAACAGGTGGCAGCCCAGTGGGTTGCCAGGGCTCAGAAGCAGCAGCTCGTCTTTGAATGCGAGCTCTTGCCCTATTTGCTCAGCTTGCAGCTATGGGCCAAGCACATAGCAGGCAGTGACCTGTTTGTGTGGATTGACAACGACGCAGCGCGTACGTCCTTGCACAAGGCCTTCACAAGGAAGGCGGAAGGAGCTGCGATAGTCTCGCAGGCTGTTGACGTGGAAGAGTCTCTGCAGTGCAGAGCAGCCTTCTTCCGAGTGCCCACCGACAGCAACATTGCGGATGGGCCCAGCAAGCCTCCGGCTCAAGTTGTGTTTTGTTGGGGAGGGGTAGTTTGTACATAGCTGTGCCCCACCAGAGGGTACACGACAAGCTAGTCGATGCCATGGAAGGACATGCGCAGTAATAGCCCTTGCCGTGAGCTGGGCTCTTTCGACAGGAACTCAAAATCAGTCATGACCAGCGACCTTCCGTTTATGAGGTGGGAGGGACTGAGTTTTCAGCAGCAAATTTGCAACCGCCGCAGAAGAAACAATGCAGGAAAGAACCGGCCCCGGAAGGGAGCCGCAGCTTTGCAATCGCAGGATCGAGCGCCGCAGCACGCTCTCCATCAACTGAGAGCGAAAACATCAGCATGCATTCGACACATAATAAGATGCCTTCTTGTTATTATCACGGTGCAGGCATTGTTCCATCTCGAAGATCTAAGGTACCATTTGGAAATGCAGCACCCAACCCAGGCACTGCCAGGCAACAGCGAGACCTTCTTGCTGCACAAGCCAACGCAGCGGCCCAAAAATCACATCAGCAGTGCTATCAGCAATCAACCCGTCCAGGACCGCAGGTACTGGACCTGCACAGTCTGGACTAATCAGTCAGGCAGCTGGGACGTGGCCTCTAGCCACCCCATCGGGAGACCGCACTCGGCCCCTATCCAGGTCACCGCCGTGAACAGCTCAGATGCTGTGCAATTACAGTCACACAGAGTGTCATCAGGATTGAGCGGATCAGGCAGCTCTCCCAGTGCCGTTCAGATAGAAGATTCTTATGGGTGCCCAGCTGAGGGCCCCTCTTGTCAGGACACATGTTCACATGCTGAGCTTGTAACGTACTGATCGACATAGAACTTTTTCTCTACTGCGATCAGTCCAGCCTTAATGCCAGCAGCCAAGTGCCACTCCGGCATCCTGGTAGAAGGGATGTTGACTCACTGTCCTCAGGCCGACCACTTCTACGTGAACCCGTCGACCCAGGTGACAGGACCCCGTTTTGCCAGTTGCTAGTCAGTCATGCCGCTTACTGCCATGTCTCTCATCGCCTTGCTGCAAGTGGTGCGATCTATGCAAGAGCCAATGCCCGCAGAAGTGTTGCCGACTCAAGCACCATGCCGCCAGCAGGGAGAGGTGGCCGTCGCCACCAGCGCGATGCCAGGGACGACGAAGATGTTGATGATCAAGGAGCCAGAGGAAGAAGACAGGCCCCGTCGTTACCCGCGATCCCGCTACAGGCCGGACGGCACCCGACGCCGCTCGGCAGGCGAGATTCAAGCCAGGCAGGCAGCCTGGCAGAACAAAGGGAAGGGCAAGGGACAAGCCCCCCAGACTGGCCCAGGCAAAGGCAAGGGCAAGAATTCGGATCGTGGCAAAGAAAAAGGGGAGCAGCCGCAGCAACGGCCCCCAACTCAAACTTCCACTCGCCAGCGAGAGCAGCGCCAGCAAGACAGGCGAACAGAAAGGCGAGATGATCAGGATCGCCGGCCTACACAACGCCGCGATCAGGAAGATGATCGAAGTCGCGACAGAGAATGGAATCGCGACACATGGCAAGGAGGTGGATGGATAGATTATTCATCACGATGGATGGCGAAACAACACCGAAGATCGCCGCCCTGATCGCCGTCGGCAGCAAGATGCTGATGAACAAAGGGAGGGCAGACGCCCACCAGCAAGGAACACCGCTAGGGACGACCGTGACACGGCCCCTACCAGACGAGCGGACCGACAAAGAGAAACCAGAGATGATGCTCCCCAACGCCGGGCCGAGCGGCAGAGAGATATCCAAGAAGATACTCCCCCAAGGAGGGTTGAGAGACGTGAGGCCAGAACACAGGGACGTCCGCCGACCCCTCCTCAAAGCCCACGCAAACGAGGTCACCGTGGGGAAGCCGATAGTCGGCCCCAGGCAGCAGAGGACAGCCTCCCACAAGACCTTCCACGAGGCCCGCCCCAGTCGACGGCTCAAACAGCCAGACAATGGGAGCGCTGGCAGTCGCTTCGCGACAATCTCAGAAAGCTGAGACAGAACGGTGCTACGGAGCACATTGAATCGTTCTTCGGCAGAGGCCACTACACCAAGAAGCATGATGACTTTCACAAAGCTGTGAAATTGCCATCCTACGGGAACTGGAACTGGGCATCTTTTGCCTACCTGCTCTGTGGAGAGCTCCATGGCAATCCGGAAACCTCAAAGGAGGGCTCGTACGGAGCAGCCGTTGAGGGCTGGGTGGGAACAGTCCACGAGGAAGAGGACCCCGAATTCCGAGCCATGTTCAACTGGATCGTTGAGTCCATGGATGCTTGGGTTGATCTCCTAGGTAAGATCCCCAGCCAAATGCATGATATTATGGGCTGGAAAATCACGGAACCAGAAGTGGATCGGCTTCTACACCACTTCTACCCGGGAGCCAAGCACCAGAATGCGGCCCCTTCCTCCTCCTCGCATCAAGACAAGGAAGCGCCGCATCCGGCCCCTACACAGGATGCTGACTATCAGGAAGAGGAAGAAGACTACTACTATGAGGACGAAGAGGATTACGACGAGGACGATGAGGAGGAAGAAACGTGCCGTCTCGCTTCGAGATAGCGTCTTATTCTTGACCACTTACATTCAAAATATGTTTTTGAATTGTGCCGCACTCCGAAAAACTGTGGGTCACACAGGCTGTCTGATCTGATGGCGCTTGGCATATGCAGATTGGCTCTCAGGTGAGAGAAGAAACTTTTCTTGAGGTCCCTCTAAAGGCCCGTACTGCGTCTAACAGGTTCCGGGTGCTATCAAAAGGCTGCTCCATAGGAGCCCGTGCACGCCGGCTTGTGGCCGGCAGATGGATAGCGCCTCCATTGGAGGGCCTCTTCTGCTGCTTGTCGCAGCTCAGCCTGAGCTTTGGCATTGCATCGCCTCCTGCTTGCGGACACATCGTGCTCGCTGCCCGCGAGCTGCTTGCATTTTGCTTCGGAGGCAACACGTGTTGCTTTGGATCTGCCCTGCAGGTTTTAGCGACTCCTCGGATTACTCTCTTGAGGATTGAGCGTGTCGGCAAGAAGGACAATAGGGGAGAGTTGTGGTTGTCATTTTGCAGTAACTTCTCCCGATGAGAAGCGACCTACCTGACTCGCCCGACTGGGGCGACAGTGATGCTGAGCTTGCAGGTGAGCAGGGCTTTGTCTGGCCGGGGGACGACTGTCCCGAGCCTCCCGACCGCGGGGACGGCGAGTCCGACGGTGAGGCTGCAAGCTCCTTGAGCATGGTGGGCGCAGGGATTGGCTCTTCGGGCTATTCGGGGGTTTCGGCTTTGGGCTCTTCGAGGGATCTTGACTCCGTTGACGTTGATGCAGACGGCCAGAGTGGTACATGCACTACAAACATGGGGCTTGCCTTTGTGCACGCCTTCAGCAGGTTGTCGCAACCCAGCGCCTCGCCTTCTTTGCTGCTGCCTTGGGAGACTCCCTTAATGAAGACCATTTTTGAGCCTTTGTCCGAGCCCCTGCCTGAGCTTAAGAAACCCTCTTTAGGCCTCGCCGACTTGTCCCCTCCCGAGTTTGCGAAGTATCTGCCCGATGCAAGTAGCAGTGCAAGTGCCGCGAAGCCTGTACATCCTAGCCTCGACTTCAAGGCAGGCCACGCCGCCGAACAAGCCATCAGAATGCTTGACGACGATGACTTCGAGAAGAAGCAGATTAAGCTTATGAACGCTTGTATCGCAAAGTGGCATGTCATTGCTTTGAGGTATTCGGACGTATTTGAATTGCCTCGGCCTTCGGACGAGGAGATCTCGGCAATGATGGGCACTCGGTCAGTACATACTGTGCTCGCCAGGGCAGGGTCCATGCTCCAGTTCGTCAGGTGGTGTGACACGGTGCGTGGTAGCAGTGATTCCATGTTCACTGATGAAGCCTACTGGGGCTATCTGCAGTTCCTCAAGACGAGTCGTGCAAGTGCTTCGAGAGGATCATCTTTCCTCTCTGCTGTGAGGTTTGCTTGGCATGTCATGGATCTCACAAAAATCTGCGGCTCGCCGTCACGGCGATGTGTGGGCCTTGCAGAACCAATGTCTGCTGAAAGAGGCACGCTGCGCCAGTCGGCGCCTTTGTTAGTGCAACAGGTGCTGCAGCTGCACCACATGCTGCATAGTGGCCTTGTGTCCAAGCTTGATAAGGCTTTTGTTGCACACATCTTGATTTGCTTGTATGCCCGTTGCAGACAGAGCGACCTGGCGAAAGTATCCTACGTTGAAGTGGATATCTCAGATTCAGGACTTGAGGGATACGTCATCTTTTACACGCGTCAGCACAAAACTGCGCGAGCTGCTCGAAGGTTGTCGCAAATGCTGCCCATCCTTATGCCAGTCTGTGGCATCGATGATCAAGAGTGGTTCTTGACAGCGCGGCGTGCCATGGAAGACATAGGCCTTAGTCTGGAGGGAAATATTGGTGGACCTGTGTTTCGGCCTCCGATTGATTTTGTCGAGGGTAGGCTGGCCCGGCGGGGAATTACATCAGAGGAAGTGTCTGCCTTCTTGAAGTTAGTTGTTCCGAGTCATGACGGGGTCTCTCGCATTGCATCCCAGAGTCTCAAACGCACAATGCTTGCTTGGTCGAGCAAGGCCGGTTTATCTAGTGAATCTAGAGCCATTCTTGGCAGGCATGCAAAATCCGTGGAGAGCTCTGAGGCCATTTACAGTGTCGAGCTCGGGCTTCCAGCTGTTAAGCAACTGGAAGGCATCTTGAGGCAGGTGCGGGACAAGGAATTTAGGCCTGATGCGAGCCGTGCTGATATGTGGCGATTCCCGCCATCGCCACCCGCAACCGCTGCTGGAACCAAAGTGTCGAAGCCATTGGTTCCTGCTGTTGAGATCAAGTCTGAGTCGGAGGCTAGTGGTTCAGAATCTTCAAGTTCGGAAGAGTCCAGCGGAGGTCATTCTGATAGTTCTGATTCTTCCAGTGCCAGCCCTCCTGCGCCTAAGAGGCGTCCTCATGCCGAGTGTCAAAAACTCATCCCTTCGGAGAAGGGTGGAGAGTGGGTCGTGCACAAGAAGTCCCATGTTTGGCATTGGACGTATGGTGTCAACATGCTGATGTGTGGCCGAAAACGAAGTCACATGTACGTTCTCTCTGATAAGGAAGAGCCATCTGGGCCGGTGTGCTGTACGTGCCGCAGGAACAAGGGTTCTTGAGCACAGTGGCAATGGCCACATTATGAACTTGTGACAAGGGTCACTGCCGAGGAAGAAAGCTTTTTGGGCTGCGCGTGCCTGCGTCTGTAGGTCTGCGTCTTGTGTTGTGTGCTGAGTGTGCAGTTTCTGACATGTGTCAAGGAAGACAGGGATCTGAGTCACATGGTGACGGGCAGAGCAAGGGCTCAAGACCAAGGGGTCAGAGGCATGGCCTTGACATTTCTCCATGGTGGGATTGTGCAAGTCGCTGATTGTTTCATGTCATGATGTGTGCACACGACAACATTTCTGAAGCCATTCGTCTAGTGCTGTAGTGTGACTAGATCCGGAGCGTCATGACTTCCCTCCTTGAGAGCGAAGCCCACCTGGACAAGCGTGCTGCCGAGGTGAAGTTCTCTGAAGCGGCCTTCAAGAGTCTCAAGTCCCAGGGATTCGTGACCCTTGGACAGCTTGCGTACAGTGTCGGGCAGCCTGGTCAGATCATCCCAGATGAAGCGTTCAATCAATTCGTAAAGGACACCATCCCCCGTGCATCGGGTGCCGACTCAGCTTGTCTCCGTCGCCTCATTTTTGAGGCTCAGACTTTAGTGCTTGCTGATTTACGACAGCAGATTAACGACCCTGATGGATCATCAAAGAAGGTTCCGGAAGCCGAGCGCGAACAGCGCTTAGCGTCACTGCGGAAGCAATTGCCTGGGCTTCTCATTGAGGGGCCGACAGAGCCAGGACGAGCCCTTTTAGATGAGTGTGCGAGCCAAGAAAGTGCGTGCCAGCTTGAGTACATGAGTGTCATCAGTCGTCACCTTGCAGACTTGCAGCGGGATCATTGGGCTTTGCAAGAGCAATTCCGTGCAGCACAGCAGGACACACAGGTGCTTTCGGACCGCTGCGAGTATCTTGAGGGCAGGATTCGCGTGTTGGAGTCCTTTGAGAATCGTATCCGTGCATTGGAGTCGGCCCGTGATTATACAAATCATCGTGTCGTGTGGCTGGAGCGCATTGTGCAGCGGGTTCGCGCCTTTGCTGCTCAACTTGCATAGCTTACATGGCGGGTGAACTTGTGCAAACAGGCCATCCGGCGTCAGACCGGCCCAGTGGTTTGGGTATGGGGGATTGGCTTAGGGCTCGGATTAGGGCGTCTAGGGCACCTTACCCTCCGACAGTGCAACATGCCATGACCGTGTTGCATTCCACATCGTTCGAGATGCCTTTGCCTTGGGATACAGGGATGCTGTCTTCGGTTCTTGGGTCTAGGGGCTTCCTGCCGTCACCTCTTGTGCCTTGGAGTCCGGATCATGTTACCCAGGGGCCGCAGGTCTGCGAGACTCCTCAGCAGATAAGGTCTAGAAAGGAGCCGTGGAAGGCAGCGGTGGTCCACTCTCGGTCTTGGGCCGACCATGAGGACGATCGACGGACCGCGGCACTTGAAATGTGGCGGCTGATCATCTTGACTTCGGGAAAGGGCACTAGGGTTGGTAAAAATCTTGCCAAGATGCAGCAGGAGGGATCCTCGGCAGATGCTGTAGATCAATGCCTTAGGGATGTGTTCTCGGCTAAGTCAACTTCTACGCTCAAGGCTAGGGCTGCAAGTTTGGCACATTATGCGCGGTGGAGGGCATCCGTTGGTCTGGACCCAGCGGTCTTTCCTTTGGACGAGGCCGAGGCTTACTTGTACGTTTGCTTTTTGAGGAGTGAGGGGGCTCCCAGGTCCCGTGCACCGCGCTTCCGCGAAGCAATCAATTTTGCTGGCGCGATGCTCGGTGCAGACGTAAGTGATGCATCGAGCTCGGCGCGCATCCAAGGGGCTGCAAACCCTCAGGTTCAGGCTGTGGTTGTTCGCAAGAAGGTGCCATTGACGGTTGCTCAGGTTAGGGCGCTTGAGGAGTTTGTCTTGCATTCCGACAACGATCTAGCAGCGGTTTTGGCTGGCTACGCCTTGTACTGCCTCCATGGAAGGCTGCGCTGGAGTGACGCTCAGCACACTGAGGCAGAGCCGACATTGGATGTTCATGAGGGCAAGGGATTCCTGAACGCCCAGCTTTATCACCATAAAACTGCTAACCGGGGATCGTTGGCTAGGCATCGGTTGCTGCCAGTGTCCTGCATCTCGCCCGGTCTTGCGGAGGGCAGTTGGGCGGAAGCTTGGCTAGAACGGCGGCGACGGCTCGGGCTCAGGGCGTCAAGGGGCGTTCCGATGATGCCGAGGCCTCTGTGCACTGGGGGATTTGACTCCCTACCGCTTGATCCGTCGCTCGGGGCATTGTGGTTGCGTGAGGTTCTGAAGGAATGCCAACCCTTAGATCTGGACGTCAAGTGGGGGGACATTGCTACCCATAGCTTGAAGGCAATACTTTTGAGCTACATGGCCAAGGCGGGTGCTCCGGAGAATCTGCGTGCAATTGCGGGGTATCACTTAAGACAACTTTCAATCGTGATTGATTAGTCTTTATTCTTGCCCAAAAACCTTGTGAAAATTTTGAGTGCGAAAATTTTCTGTCTGCATGTCAATCGTTGTTTCGCCACACACTTTGTTCCCACGAAGCCTTCTTGGCTGAGGTGGGAGGTGGGAAACCCTAGCAACTTTCAAGGCCATATGGCTTGGTTTGCAACTTTCAAGGCCATATGGCTTGGTTTTGTTTTGTTGCTAGGGGTGTGTGTGTTAAGAAACCAAGTCAGCCTGCGAATTGAGCCATGGCTGACTCTGGCAGATCAAAGTTCCCACGGCTGGACGAGCCTACGAGCGACTTGGGGCGCTTGTATGAGCGGGCATTGAGTGAGGCAAGTGTGCAGCTTGCGGGTCAGGCTACCTTGAAGTTACCCTGGGAGAAGGGCATTTATGCCGAGATTTTCAGTGGTAGCGAGCTACCTAGGATGCCTACCTTACCTATGCCTGCTACACTTCCAGTCGTAGATGTTGCAAGACCTGGGACCCAGCACAGCGAAGCCTTGAAGCAGACATCAGATCCTCTGCCAAAATTCGAGAGTGCAGTCTACAAGCACTGTCTGCATAAATCAACTATTGCTGCTGGCGGGAGACCCGGGACAGATCGAGATGCCGTCTACAGGCGCTGGCTTTGTATCTTGGGCCACAATCTTGCTGGCTCTAAGATTGGAGAGTACATTGCTGATGGTGCCGAAGACCCTCTTGTTTTGATTGCGGACACCTTTGGAGGGAAAAGTACGAGCACCTTGCTTAAGAGAGCCAGGTTTGTCGCCCGGATGCTTACGTGGGCGTCTGAGCATAGTCAGACGTTTTTTCCGCTGCGGCTTGGACCATTGCTTTCATTCATGCGCAGTTTGGCATCAGAGAGTGCCAAGGCCCAGTGTGGAGAGACAATCAATTTCCTTGTGCATGTCCTTGGTGTGCATGCCGATCTGGATATTTTGAAGCATCCTGTAATCCAAGGGCTTCTACGGGGGTCTCGGTCAACAGGGAAAGAGATCAAGCAGTCCAGGGTACTCACTGTCCGGGAAGTTATGGCGCTCGAAGATATGCTCAGTGATGCATCCCTTGATCCTGTTGATCGATATGGTGCAGGAGTTTTTCTTTTCCAGATTTACAGCCGGGCACGAGTGTCCGACATCAGGAACATCCATCGCTTTGAGCTCGACCTGAGTGGAGATGACGGATACCTTGAGGCGAAAACGATGGACCACAAGAATGCGACCAGAGGACGTGGGCTGGGGCAGAGCTTGATTCTCGTTGCTCCGGTTCAGGGCCTGCGGGATAAGGCGTGGGGTATCCAGTTCATCGAGGTTGCAAAGATGGTTGGGTTCAACCTTCGACAGGGGCATCGTGGACCTTTGTTACCTAGACTTACTGCCGAGGGTCAGTGGTCAGGGGAGGCGATCGGGTCTGATGAGACTACATCGTGGCTCAACGGTCTGTTGAATCGCGCTATGAGTGAGCAGATTGCGTCAGGGCTAACATCCCATGGATTAAAGGCAACAACCCTTTCCTGGATGACGAAGGCCGGGTATCCCGAAAAGTCTTGCCTCATTTTGGGACATCACGCGAGAGCGGGGAAGAAAACTCTTTACACATACGGCAGAGACGTGCAAGCCAAACCATTACGTGAACTACAAGATTGCATTCGTCTCATCAAGCGTAATATGTTTGCTCCGGACTCGACTCGAAGTGGCATGTTCAAATCAGGCGAGAGCAGTCATGAATCAAAGGCTGAGGTTACAGATCCTCTCATTCTCGCTGCTGAACAGTTCCGGTTTGGCGATCCTGATGAAATCATTGACACTGGAGGCGATGTCGGCAGTGAACACGAGCCCTTGCTCGAGGAAGGAAAGCCGGCTGACAATTGTGATGCTGAGCCTGAGCAGGATGCTGAGGATTCCGACTCGAGTACCTCTAGTTCTTCAGGTTCCTCTGATGACCATGCCGAAGCTTATGAGAGTTTCGCCAGTGATGCTGCCCTTGATTGTGCTGTGCCCCACTTAAACAAAGAGGTGGACTTGGATGTTTTCCAGAACCCCAAAACTCTTTCCCTCCATACCCGGGCGAAGGGTTCCGATGGCCCACTTATGTGTGGCCGCAAAGCTGAGGGAATGAAGATTTTTACAAGTAGGGTATACAGCAAGTTTTGGATGTGTAAGCAGTGTGAGCAGGCTCGACCGCTCAGGGACACGAAAGCTGTCGTTGCATACCTGAGCAAAGTTGCCAATCCCAAGAGTGCAGGACCTAGTGGTCTTCATTGAGGATGGCGAGGGCTATGGGCCAGCACAGCGCTTTGCGCGTGCACTCGCAGTTTTGGAGAACATGTGATGGGAAAGTTGCGCGAGGGCTCCGGGCCTGCATCGCACAGTGTGCCTGCGCTCGCGAACTTGTGCAAATCGGATTTGCGAAGGTTGGGCGAGGGCTTCGGGCCTGCACAGCACGTTGTGCTTGCGCTCGCAGTTTACTATCGTCTACTTTGTGATGGGCTGGGCGAGGGCTTCGGGCCTGCACTGCACTTTGTGCCTGCACTCGCGAACTTGTGCAAACCGATGTGGTGGCTGAGAGTCTGCTTACTGTCGTGTGGTGGCTACGGGCCTGCACGTCGTCCTGAGGACGAGTGCAACCACATGACAGGAATCCTTGACTGGCGTGAGTACCGAATTGAGCCCAAAAGGTGTGTGGAACGTGGTGATGACACGTTGGTCACCCATGTGTGATTACGACTTGTGGGCAGCAGCGAGCTGAATGAATAGAGCCGTCTTATGCGCAAAAGACCAGCAGTAGTGTGTCGGCATGGCGGTTCCACTGACAGAGTCCAAGGCCGTGTTCTTGGAAAGATGTGAGACGGCCGGATTGCCAAAGCCGATTCGGGACATCTTGGTTGGCAAGAATCTCAGTACCTTGGCAGGTCTTGCATTCGCAGCGGGGCAGCCGGGGGAAACACCGAGTGATGCAGCGCTTACCGGCCTGGCGAGATCCGGCACGGAGGAAGTTCCAATAGCGACCCTAGCTTCCTTGAGGCGGTTGGTGTTTGAAGCGCAGCTCCTCATGACCGCGCAGGTGAAGATGCTGATCGAGCATCGTGCCGATGACCAAAAGGCGGAATTAGCACCCGCAGAAAGATCGGAGCGAATCCAGAAGCAGAGCGAGCGCCTGGCCGGTGTTGCACTCCGCAACGAGTCAGAGTGCTCCTATGGGTCATACGATTTGGTCATGAAGATGGTCCAGGAGAACTGTGTCTCCTACTTGTCTCCAGCTAGGTTTCCGTCTCGGCAGGCCGAACTTCGTCTGGAGAAACCTCGAAAGGAGCTTGATGTGGTCAACTCAAAAATCACTTTGAAGGACCAGGCAGTCGATCTTCAATGCCAGCTTCACACGCCGCTGTGCCTGCATCATGCTCTTCATCGACGGGCACTTGCAATGGATCTCGTTGGGGTAGCCAGCTACAGTGTGAGCATGGAATTTCACGAGTACTTGATGTCACACCTTACCATGGAGCCACCGCCTGGCTATCATCAAGTCACACTGCATCAGGTTCTAGCAGCTGACCGAGCCGCTTGGTTGCGACTCGCGGAGAAACTTCCTAAAGGGCTTCGTGCTGGTCCCGATGGGAAACTCCCGCTGGATATCGAGCTCCCGAAATTGCAGGGCGACCCGAAAGTGGCTTTTCATCTCTTACCTCTGGGACCTTCTGCTTCATCATCCGGGAAGCGTTCGATGGATGGCGACCAGGGCCAGAACAACGATTCGAAGATCCAAAGGACTGGAGGCAAGGGTAAAGGGAAGGGCAAAACCAAAACTAAAGCCTTTCCCAAGTCTATGCCTGTGTCCCTCAAAGACAAGTGGTCGCGAACCAAACGCGGTGTTCCGATATGCTGGGCCTTCAACACGGAAGAGGGCTGTAGCTCAGCTCCAGCTGGAGGCAGATGCCCGAGGGGTGTCCACCTTTGCGCTGAACCTAACTGTCAAAAACCCCACTCGATCGTCAATCATGCAAAGGTTGCCAGTGGGTGAACTTTTCAGAACGCAGGTTGTGACTTGATTGAATCACTGGAGGTTTTCCTTAACCGGGCTAGGGCTCGGGTAACTGGTGTTTCGATCGAGGCACTCTTTGGAGTTGAAGTTTTTGCAGGGTCTGGTCGCTTGACTTGCGAGCTCCGCAGGCTGGGGCTTAATGATAGTATTGGTGTTGACAAGAATGTCGGCCGATGCTTGATCGCACCGGTGTTGCGTCTCGACCTTGGTGACGAGCAGGCGCGCGAGCTTGTCGTGCAAATGCTAGAAAATCCCAGTTGTGCCTACGTTCATGTTTCTCCCCCAGCCTTGAACCAGAAACATCGCAGTTTGAAGCACCGTGATGGTGCCGATGCTTCATGCTATTCAGCCTCGTGTAGCTTGTTGTACGAGTTCTGCGGGAAGCTCTTTAGCATGTGCTGGTCCAAAGGCATTCTCTTTTCTTGCGAAAACCCTGGACAGTCAGAGCTGTGGCGAACGCCACAGTGGTGCAAGCATACGCTGTGTTTAAATTCCATTGATACTGTTTTTCACATGTGCATGTGGGGATCTCTCAGCCCTCGTTTCACACGCATTGTTCATTCTGTGCCTTCGCTAACGCAGCTGGGTGTTCGTTGTTGCGGTGTAAGTTCCAGCCACACGCATGAGTCCCGGAACGTGCTCCATGACTCCACATTCCCCCTAGATCTCAGTCGTGCGTGGGCAAATGCAATTGTGGAGCAACTTGTTGCTTTAGGCGCCCTGCCTCGTGCGCGCTCCTTGGATGAGTCTCGAGCTCCCCTACACCGTGAAGCCCAGGTGGCAGCAGCTTCACAGCCAACACGCAAGAAGGTACCTCCTCTTGTTAGTGAATTTCGCTGCGTGGCGACAATTGACACGCCCAAACCTTTTCTTGACACAGCTTCCAAGAAACTTGAGGGGCCAATTCCCATCCCTGCGGGTGCCAAGTGTGATACTACGTTGACCGTGCTACCGGCAGGCTCTCGCGTCATTCGCAGGCAGTTACTGGGGGTGAGTTCGCCTGCTTTGAAGCTCGATGTAGGGTCGGAAACTAGCAATCCCACTAGCAGCCGTGTAGCTTCTGTCCCTGAAGTAAGCAAGCCCAGGCCTGATCGAGTGCAAGTGTGTTCTGAAGCCACTCATCCCGCAGAGGTTTTTGCTGCATCGTGCCTAAAGCTGGGGTATATCGACCCGGGAAAAATTTCCGAGTTCACTCAACTTCTTGAGTCGGAGCTTCCGGCCAGGGGGGATGGAGGTCAGCACGAATTTTCCTTCACGGTGGGATCCTTTGTTCATGGCGGTATTTATGGGCTTAGAACTTCTTCGGTTAACTTTCCGCTGACAACTCAGGTCCTTGCAAGGTTCATGCGCCAGCAGTGCCCAGACGCTGTTTTCACGAGCCTGGCTTTGATGAGGGATGTGCAAACAACATTACACATCGACACGAACAATTCATTACCCTACCTGAACACTGTGGCGAAGGTCACCAATTTCGAGGAAGGGGGTTTGTGGGTTCACAACGATCACGGTGACATGCCTTGCCCTGATGCAAATTTTGGGCAGCTGATGGGAACGAAGGTCGACTTCGAAAACGGAGTTATCAGGTTCGATTCGCATCTTAAGCATTGCACACTCCCGTGGGTCAAGGGGCCCCGTGTGGTTCTTATAGGGTTTGTCGTGAAGGGTCCCGAGTTGATGCCATCGGACTTAGTGAGTAACCTTGTCGCTTGTGAGTTCAACATGCCGGATGAACCCCTTGTGCAGCCTCTCCCCAACGAGGAACACTCCTCACCGGCAGGGCCCGAGGAGTCCCATTGGCATAGGGTTGTAGTAGGCATCCCATGGTTACCCGAAGAGTTCATCGGTAAAGCCCTGGAGGCTACGCACCCGAGGCACTTGATGACAGGCATCCCATCCGAACTAAAATCCACAATCGATCAGCTTGTAACCCTTAGCCCATTTGAGGTTGGAGCCGAGAGGACGGCCCAGCTTAGGAAGTGGGTTGCGAGGGTACAGGAGGTTGAGCCGATGGAAAAGTTGATCAAGCAGCGGATGAGCGAATCTTGTGCAAAAGTCCTTCGGAGTAAACGCTTAGTGATCTTCAAAGAGATGCTTGAAGCCAGTGGTCACAAGGATGATTCGATAGTCGGCGACATTGCCGAAGGTTTCAAGCTTAGCGGTCCCATACCGCCATCTGGGGTTTACAGGTCAAAAAGAACTTCGGCGACCCTCACCACGGCGACGCTGAGAAGATCAGCACAGGTGCTTCGGAAAGGAATCATACACTCAACTAAGGGATCAGGCGACTTCGAGCTTGATTGTGCAACATTCGAAGCTACTCGTGATGAGCTTCATCGAGGTTGGCTTTTCGGACCTGTGGCAGAGAAGGACCTCCCTTCTGAGGCAGTGGTTACCCGTAGATTCGGCATACGCCAAGGAGGAAAGTGCAGACCCATCGACAATTACTTGGAATCAGGTGTCAACGCGACAACTAGCGCTGCAGACACCATCACTGTCCACTCGGCCGATGTGCTCGCTGCCGCCTTGTCATACCGCATCCACAAGCTCCGCTCAAAGCGACTGTCAGCAAGCTTGTACTCCAGGTCGTGGGATCTTGCCAAAGCATACAAGAATCTTGCGCTCCACCCTGAATCAGTCCCTGATGCGTTCCTGGCCGTATGGAACCCACATACACATAAGACTGAGATCTATGGCCAACTGGTGTTGCCTTTTGGTGCCAGATCCAGCGTACACTCTTTTTGCAGAACTTCGCTGGGGATTTGGAACATAGGGGTGGTGTTGTTCCTCCTGCACTGGGGGGTATACTTCGACGACTTCTTGGGATCCGAAACACCCCGCCTGTCCAAGCTGTTCGAACTCTGCGCAGACGGGTTGTTCCTGATATTGGGCTGGGCTACATCCTCTGACAAAGCTTCGGTTTTTGATTCCATTTCGATTGTACTTGGCCTGAAGATCAATCTCTCCGAATCTGGAATCGGCTTCGTTTACTTTGAGAATACCGAGAAGAGGCGAGATGAGCTGGTGTCCACCCTCGGCGATGTCCTTTCTGCGGGGTTCCTTAGCCGCAAGGATGGCGAGCGACTACGTGGCAGGCTACAGTTCGCAGAGCAGCAGATTTCTGGCAAAAAGGCTGGATTGGCCTTTAAGGAACTCTCGAGGCATGTGACGAAAGGGGGCGGCAAGTTGGTACCCGAAACCATGGCTGCCTTGACCACCCTTAAAAACCACATTGCTTGTGCTCCAGCTCGCTGCATTGCGGATCGATCGTGCTTTACCTGGCACCTCTATGTCGACGCTTCATACGATGATTCGCGGGCTGGTATTGGTGGCATCTTGATCTCAGAGTCGGGAGCCTACATTGGCCACTTCAGTGAATTCCTCGACGATGCAGCTTTAACATCCTTGAATACAACTGGGAGCGAGAATCCGATCTTCGAGTTGGAGTGTTTCGCTATCTGGTGTGGCATTTCCGCTTGGGCACGCTTGCTTCGCCACTGCCATCTTATTGTATTCACTGACAACGAGGGAGCTTTGCACTCGATGATCAATGGTCGCAGCGAGAATGATTCTGGTGGCCGTATCGTTTCTGCTACGCATAACCTACTTGACGAAGGTTGCATTGCTCCGTGGTTTGAACGTGTCAACACAGCTTCCAACATAGCTGATTTTCCTTCGCGGGGAGTCTCGAAAGAAGAGTGGGGAGCGAGAACTCCCATTGATTATGTGCGCCTCGCACGGGTGGCTGAAGCAGGGGGTGACGTGCCACCGTTCGAGGCTTTCAGCTCGGCGGTGTAATGTGTGTGTGGTGTGAGGTCCCACACGTGGGCTCAGTGGGGCACTGCCGCATTTTGCGGCGTGCCAACTTAGTGAATTCATCACCCCTTGACTTCGAGTATCGTCGTAAAAGATTGCCCGAGTGCGAGTGTTTGCGCCATATTCATATGCAAAGATATTTGATTGACTTCCCGGCGATTCAATATATACTTTACGATTTCACATATTGATGTGAATATCTCCGTTTGCGATTTGATTGACATGCGCGGTTTTTGGGAACAAGAATAAGACAACTTTCAATCGTGATTGATTAGTCTTTATTCTTGCCCAAAAACCTTTTGAAAATTTTGAGTGCGAAAATTTTCTGTCTGCATGTCAATCGTTGTTTCGCCACACACTTTGTTCCCACGAAGCCTTCTTGGCTGAGGTGGGAGGTGGGAAACCCTAGCAACTTTCAAGGCCATATGGCTTGGTTTTGTTTTGCCCACCCGCCCTCCCTTGGGGGTGACGTGCCACCGTTCGAGGCTTTCAGCTCGGCGGTGTAATGTGTGTGTGGTGTGAGGTCCCACACGTGGGCTCAGTGGGGCACTGCCGCATTTTGCGGCGTGCCAACTTAGTGAATTCATCACCCCTTGACTTCGAGTATCGTCGTAAAAGATTGCCCGAGTGCGAGTGTTTGCGCCATATTCATATGCAAAGATATTTGATTGACTTCCCGGCGATTCAATATATACTTTACGATTTCACATATTGATGTGAATATCTCCGTTTGCGATTTGATTGACATGCGCGGTTTTTGGGAACAAGAATAAGGTCTGCCAATTCCTCTACCCTTGAGTATTCCCGCGATACCCTTGCACCGGCATTGCATTTCTTGGAGTGTATGTTCTTGACCATAACGAGCGGGTTGTTTGCACCCGACGCTACCAGGGCTGGGCGCTGGACCCAGGGCGTGCGCTCGGTGGATGATGCGATCCGATTTCTTTCGGGGAAGCCGGCTCCCAGTCAGGCCTCGGGACCCGGCCCGGCCGAAGCTGCTGGGGCCGACGAGGGTGTGCAGTCTGATCCGGAATCGCCAGCAGAGAGCATTGCGTCTGCCGGTGAAGCGAGGAGGCGGGAGTGTCCATTTTTGCGCTTGGGTCTGACTTGCAAGTCTCTGACGACGCCAGGCGGTCCGTTCGGTGTTTTCAGCATAAGTTGAGCGGGGTGATCCACGCAGCTAGGGACGATCAGCCTCCAGATGAGGGGGAGATGACAGTCTTCCGGTGCGGCCGCTTCGCAAACCGAAACTATGAGCTTCTGGACGAGGTGCCAACCATCATGCTTCACAAGTGTTCCTCGTGTTGGGGGGCCAAGGACCTGAGGCAGTGATGCGAGAAAACAGTCGGAGCCATGCTAGGCATGTTGCTGTTGTTCAGGTGCGCTGTGTCTGCGGTTGTGAGGTGACAGATGACTCAATCCTTCTCATGACGTCTCTCTCTCTCTCTTGGCTGTCGATGGGTAGCTAAATCAGTTGAGGAGGGACGTCCCATGCAGGACGGACACTTGTCGTGGTATGCACGCAGGTTTCGTGCTCGAAGGTGGGCTCGCATGTGAACATGTTCGTACACGGAGATGCCATGATGATTGTAAATTTTCTTTTCTTTTATCGTGTGAGATCGGGCATGGCTTTTAGGACGTGACGTAGATTCTTGCACCACCATGTCGGCCATTGATAGCGAAGCTGTGTTTCTTGCGAAGTGCACCCAGCTTGGATTACCTGAGGAGGCCAGGAACCAGTTGAAGCGCAAGGGATGGTCGACCTTCGGAACATTTGCCTTTTGTGTCCCGGGCGAGCCTGGCCGTATCGCTGAGGATGTGTTCAAGACAGGTGTTGCGACCCCGATCCTGGGGGCAGATGGCGATGAGCATCATGCTAAGCTTCGCCGGTTGCACTTTGAGGCGTATGCACTCACTGCGGCCGAGCTCAAGCGCACGGCCGAGTCGACGGAGTCTGATCAGCCGCGTAAGGTGCCGACGGCTGAGCTTGCGGCTAGGTACAATGTCTTGCAGCGCAGGGTGTCCCCTTTACGCTTCGTGGATCGGTTAGAACCTTCCCATTCCTTGGTGAACTTGGCGGCCCAGATGCTTGAGGACCAACGGGTCCGATACATTGAATGGTCGAAGTGTACCAGTCGGGCCCAGGAAATCAATCTTGTGAAAGAGGATTCTAGCTTGAAGGTCTTGCAAGGAGGTCGGACCGGTGCGGTCAAACTTGTGGATCCGGGGTCTCGGCTCACGGCTGAGACTAAGTCCGACCTCGAGGTGATGCAAGCCCTCCGAAGGCGCGGGGTGGCCTATGAGCTTGCTGCCATCATGACGTTTGAACGCCATGAGGAACTAATCGATCGCTTGTTTATGGAGTATCAACGTGAGCCCATGCAAGGATTCCACCCCGTGTCACTGGCACAGTTGCAGGCAGCTGATCGTGAGATCCATGTGCGTATGGGTGAGCATACGCGGGCGGGGCTAACACCCGATGCTTCAGGAGCCCTTCCTTTGGACGCGCCGCTCGGTAAGGTTCTGAGCGGGCCACACATCCATTGGATGCTTATGCCTCGCCAGAAGGGCTCTGCTTCAGTTGGGGATGCCACTGAAAAGCCTCCAAAGTTGCCCAAACCACCGACGAAGACCGACCCGTCGAAGGCGACGGATAAGGACTCGCGTGGTGACAAAGACCAGAATGCTGGCAAGGGGTCGGGGCCGAATGCGGCCGACAAGCCGACCAAGCAGCGCAAGGTGCGCTTTGTTATGCCCAAGGCGCTGATTGGGGGAGTGCCCCGGGATGACAGCGGGAATAACATCTGTTTCGATCACAATCTGAAGAAGTGCCCGAATGCTGCTGGCTCCTGTCCGAAGGGGGCCCATGTGTGCTGCTACCCTTCCTGTTTCGACCCAAGCCATGTCTTCTCGCATCACAAGACTTCGTGACTAGGGTCAGGGCCCAGGCACACTTCCCAGGCTGGTGCAGCTGCGTCCGCGCCTGTGCATGACACTGCTAACAGCCATTTTGGCAACCGCAGTGATTCGAATGCAGAACATTTCGCCTCTGCATGCGTCGGCCAAGTCGATGCTGCTACAATCCTTCATTTGTTGAGTCTTTTGCCGTCTGAGGCCCCATCTCGCGGCTCGCGGGTTCAAGGCCACGGAACCGAGTTTTCCTTTACCACCGGCGCATATACTTTTGATCATGGTGAGCGACATGGTTTGCGGCAACATTGCCGCGAGTTCCCCCACACAACAAAAATCTTGAACGCGTTCATGAAACAGCAGGCGCCATCTGCGGTTTATACCACACTGGCGCTGTTTCGCAATCTTGAGACGAGGGTTCACTCTGACAAGGGAAATGATCCTCAACAGCTGAATACCATCGTTAAGGTGTCAAACTTCTCCGATGGCGGCCTCTGGATTGCAGACCCGCAAGGCAAAGTGCCATGCCCTTTGTCCGACGAGCAAGCACATGGACGTGTCCTGCCGTTTGATGGACAAGTTTTGTCCTTTGATGCACAGCAGCCTCACTGTGTCATGCCGTGGGCTGGGGGTTCACGGGTGGTTCTTGTCGGTTTTACGGTTCGCAACCCTCATGGGATTAGCCCTGGCCATAGGGAGGAGCTTTCCGCTTTGGGTTTCCCGCTCCCTGATAGGCGCCCTGACTCGACGGCCGGTCCCGAGTCCCCCCTTAACTTAGGTGTCACAACGGCGTTGCAGGAACCAGGGCCGACAAACCCGGTTCCAGTCGGCCCGATGCGGCCTCAGGCATCCGACCGTAACGCGCCACTTGAGTCCTCTGGGGTGTTGCGCAACAGTGGCAAGTCAATCCGACCTTCGTTCCTGGAGATTTTCTGTGGTTCCGCCGGTTTGTCTGCGGCCGTGCGAAAGTTGGGATTTCAGGTTCTCGGCGTCGATCACAAGCCCACCGCTAAGCATGCAAATGCACCCTTCATCAGCCTTGACCTGCGTGACCCTGAGCAGCAGGAACGCTTGTGGGTGGAGTTACGGCGCGCGGATGCCGTCTGGCTGGCGCCCCCATGCGGGACTTCATCTAGCGCTAGGTCGATACCTCTCGGCAACTCCAAACACGGTCCCAAGCCCTTGCGGTCCAAGGAGTTTCCCGATGGGCTCCCAACACTGGCGGATGTGGATCGTGACCGCGTCAACAGTGCAAATCTGTTGTATGACTTTACTGCAAAGGTCTTCAGATTCTGCAAGTCCAATGGCATCTTGTGCATTGTGGAGAATCCCGTCGGCAGCTTGATGTGGCGAACTTCGTGGTTCCGTTCAGAAATTCCGGATGGTTTCTGGCATGAGCTTCATGCCTGCATGTACGGATCTTCCCGGCGCAAACGCACGGCTCTGCTGGCCACTTGCACTTTGCCCGGCTTGTTGCTGCAGTGTGATGGGGCGCACAAACATAAACGATGGGGTCGGTCCCGGGACCCACAAACCGGGCAATGGAAGTATGCCACTTCCGAGGAAACGGCCTACCCTGCAAGCTTCTGTGCTGCCGCTGCTCGCGAGATCCAGCTGGCACTTGAGCGTGTTGGCGTTTGTGTGCAACCGTCCGAATCCACTGACGGCGCAATCGCAGCGACCTTTGCACAGCGCCAGCCACGGCGGGGCCGTGGTGTCGTGGGCCCTGCTGAATACAAACGCCTGCACCGCATTCTCTTACCTCGGGACTTTCAGCCACCGGAGTGCGTTCCCGCTGATCCGCCGCCATGCTTGGTTGACATCCCTTCGGGTTCAAAGCTGCTATGGACTCGCGTCTTTGTGGATGGGGGAGTTGAGCGCCGCGAGGCAGAATTTGGGGTGTACCACACACCTCAAGAATTCTTGCAGGAGGCCATGGCAACCACGCATCCCTTTGATAGTGCCGTGTCCATTGACGGTCCGAACCTTAGGGCCATAGCATATACTCTTGAGCACGGGGTTGCCGCTGTAAAGCAGAAGCGCCTCTCAGTCTTGGAGCATTATAGGGCGCTTGAGAAATCACTTCGGGAGGATGAGCGTGAGCTTAAGCAGCCATCAGTCCGGGAGGTGATGGGGTCCAAGAATCTCCTGCTGTTCAAGCAGATGTTGCTGGATGCCGGTGTGCCTGACGAGCACCTCTTCGAGGATATGGTTCGGGGTTTTAGACTCACGGGCCCCTTAGAGCCTTCTGGGTTGTTCCCCCCTAAGTATAAGCCTGCGTCTATCTCGGTGGACGAACTCCGGCGCACGGCCTCTTGGTCGAAACACCTGATCGAGGCGGCCTGCCGGAAAGCGTCTAAAGACCCGAATGTCGCAAGGTCCGTTTGGGAGGAGTCTCTTGCTCAGGTGAAGAAAGGTTGGCTCGCCGGCCCTTTCACTTGGGAGCAAATGGACCAGAAGTATGGTGGCACTTGGGTGGCTTCCAAAAGGTTTGGGGTTTCCCAGGGTGACAAGGTTAGAGCGGTTGATGATTTGTCGCAGTTTCAGGTAAATGCCTCCGTTACTGAGACAGAGAAGATTCAGCTTGAGGGGCTCGATGATATTGTGGCACTTGCGAGGTTCCACTTGGGATCCACAGTGGCCGGCACAAAGGTTTTCCGGCTTCCTATGTCCGGCGGAGGCGTGTACCAGGGCCGCCTGCATAGGGACTTCAGGGACGGACGGGCAAGAAATCTGAAGGGCCGAGCCCTAGACTTGCGGAGCGCATACAAGCAGTTAGCCCGGCACCCTTCAGACGATTGGGCATCGGTGCTGGGTGTCCTGGACCCCGACACCGGCACCGTCTCTTACTTTGAGAGTGCCGCGCTTCCGTTCGGAGCGTCGAGCGCAGTGACAGGCTTTAACCGGGCCGCCCGAGCCCTGCGCATTATCATGTCGAGACTTTTGCTCCTTGTGAATACGTCATTCTTTGACGATTTTTGCCAACTTGAGATCGATGGTCTGACCGCCTCGGCTGATCAGGCGGCGCTTGCACTGCTGGACCTTCTTGGCTGGGAGGTGTCTGATGGCGACAAGCTTAAACCTTTTGCTTCGGAGTTCACTATGCTTGGGGCCGTGCTATCCTTCAAAGATGCTGGCAGGGGCTTGATTAGGATTAGGAATAAGCCTGGGCGCGTGGAAGAGATTGGCGACATGGTGGAACGCCTTGCCTCTGACCCCGGTGAGGGGGCGCGCTCTCTTCCTTCCCTTAAG